TATTTATAGTTATAGTGTATACGAAAAACGTGGCGTAAGAGGCCGATAATAAAATCGTAAAAGTGTCTTTAAGATCGAAAGAAAAGAAAATGGACCGAGATGCTGTTCGTACGATTCAAAAAGCCCGCGCGCGCGTTATTCGAATATCAGGTTTGCACGCTAATGGTGCAGCGGCAGCTTTTACGCGATCGAATCGTTAAAGCGTCTACCTTTTCATTTCTTTTCTTTTATTCTCCACCTCCTCCTCCTTCTCCTCTTCTTCTTGAGTTTCTCGTTCAAATATATACGCGCGACCTCGGCCGCTCCAATTCGCCGTTAATTGGGCGACATTTTCGCCTTGCGCACCATTTTTACGCTCCTGGCCTATCTCAACGAGCCTATATCCAAAGGTAGCCGGATATAAATTACGGCGATTACCGTGCAGCTCGGCTTGGCTGCGGTTGGTATCCTTCTACCAAGCTGGCAACTCGATTCGGTTCTCTCGCTAATTATCAACTCTGCGTAAATTTCCATCCTTTTTTTTTTTTTTTACACAAGCTCTTCGAACGGATGCCGCCGATAGAGAAATAAATGTGCCTGCGTTATGCGAAACAGACGACGTTAATATCACGAATATATGCGTTAGTTATTTACTTCTTCTACCAATATCATCAGTGTGTCTTAACTCGATCAAAAGAAATCATCGGTTTGAGAAAAATTCAGCAAAACTGGTGCTTAGAAAATATTTTTATCCTATTTCACGATCATATACATTTGTATGCAGGAAGAAGAAAAGTATTTCTCTTTTTACTCCCTTCTCCCTACCTCTCTGTTTTTCTTTTCCAACGGTAGCTGAAACATAAAAATTTTTAATACGCGAACCACCTGACGGTCGCTTTTAAAGTCCGCTGAACCGTAAGCGTAAGAAGTTTATGTTCTGAGATGCCTCGCGTAACGCTACCTAGAAGATTTACGAGCTTTTATCGAAAAGGGAACCAACGTACCAATAGCTGAGCCGTTTTATTTATCGCTTTCGAACGAAACTTTCCGGTGTTTTTTACTTTTTTTTTTTTCCCCCTCGTAAGATGTTACTCGTCGCGAACGTTAATAGCAGTTACCAACCAAGGGATGTGGGATTTTTAAAACGAGTTCGTGCATTTTATCCCCAATTCAAAAATTCGGACATTTCCAATGCTGTTTTTGTCGATGGCAAAACGTGTCCAGTGTTAATTTCATTTCGTTTCGTGAGTATTCGTGAGTTGAACATAGTATTACGATTTAAAGTGTCTCGAACGTTTCGAATCGAAAGTAACGAACGTTGAATAAAAAATTCTCTCAACTTGTCCTTGTCTTTGCTTTTCTTACATTTTATCTTTCTCTTTCTCTTCTTCTCTTACTTAAAGGAACTCTCTTAGGGTTAGCAATGAATAAGAAAAAAAAAAAAAAGAAAAAGAGCATTCGAAACTGTTGGTACTTAGGGAGACAACGTTTTCACGATTCGCATCGTCGACGTGTACGAACCCATTGGAAATTCCTCTAGTAACGTCGATACGACCTAATGGATTTTCTGTCGGCTACCATTAGCGATACTGTCCTGCGACTATCCAATAAGGAGCAAAAACGTTCCTGACACTGTATGCCCAAGCTAAGGAATCGAACCAGACCTCTAAAGATCTTGGCACAACAACGCGCTTTTTATCCGATTACTTGCAATGCAACCAAACCTATTTAAACTCGTGCATACATTGTGCACACATTTTTTACATACATGCATGCGCAGGTATTATAAATAAAAATGTATTATTAAGTTAAATATTAAATGACTATTTTTTTCGATATAAATCAAGATATTTTTGTTGTTACTTTTATGTAATTAATCTTTTCGCAAATATTTCAATGATATTCTTTCGTCTTGAAGATGGTTAATTTTTTGAAACTCTTTTTCTTTTTTTTTTTTTGGTTTTGTATTTTTTCAAGGCAAAGGTACATGATAGATGCGAGACTGCACATGGATTCTTCATCTTCGATGCACTTCCGAGGAGGGTAAAAGCCCGGAGGTGGCGAGAACAGGGCAGCAATTTGCGTAATTGCGATACCTCGCGAATTCTACCTCGGGCACGGCTCTCCTCTCCTCTCCTCTCTTGCGACGACTCTTTTCATTTCTTCGTGTTGCGCATTCAAAAAACTATACGCGTGAAAATATCGTGTTTGATCGATGGAGCTAAACGATCACTGCATTCTTCGTGTTCTACGATCCTTCTAACTTTTTCATAAGTGTAATCTTAAAGGTAGTAGTAGTAGTAGTAGTAGTAGTAATAATAGTAGTAGCAGAAGACAGGTAATATAAAAAATAATGTTTTTGTGATAGTAATGTTATAATACTAATAATAGTAGTAACAGTAATAAACCATAACATGTTCGTACTTTACCAAATGCTTTCCGAGTACAAACTTTAGTTCGATTCTTTGCTACTAGCATTTTATCTTTGGTATGCAAGTATTTACAAAGTTAAATAATAAACTTTACCCTTAAATAAATAGTCATTACTCTTTCTCTCTCGGTAAAGCAAGTACATTGAATAAGGGGGCCCATTTATATGCATAAACTTGTTTCTTCATACATTTAAATACGATCCACCGTGAATAGATATATTTGCAACATTTGATTTCCTTTGAAAATATTTAAATCCTTAATATCTGTTATCACTTCATGCACGACTAATTGTAAAATCTAAAGAAACTTTTGCAAAACATCTCCAACTAGTTATGGACATTATCGATCTCCTCTCTCACATGAGAATAAATTACTCACCTGGTAGGTACGATTGATTATTAAATTTATTCGACTTGTGATCATTCATCGATCAAGTAGGAAGAGATGTGTGTTGTTCAAAAAAAAAAAAAAATTATAAGATTACGAGGTATTCAAAATAATCGCGTTAGTGGGATTCTTCGGAAAGGAAGAAGAATCGAAGAAGGATAGAAAATCCAAGTACACGCGCCGGTTACTTATACACGCATGTGCGTATAAACGAAAAAGAGACAAAAAAAAAGGGTGATTGAGATGAAGAAGAGAAGATGAAGAAAAAGAAGTAGAAGTTAAAGAAGAAGAAGAAGAAGAAGAAAAAGAAGATGCGTCGCGGGTGCGGTTCTTCGCGTGGCGCGTCCTTCTCGTCGTTATATGCACCCGTGTGTATGAGTTAGTTCAAGATACGTTTATGTATGTGTATATACGTAGGTGAACTCGAGATATGCGAGATCAGCAAATCTAAGATCGTGCAACTGGTGTCCAGTGGCGTGTCCAAGGCATACGTTGGCCAACGTTCACCACCGAGAGAAAGAGAGAGAGACACTTATGTGGATGGGAACGAAGAGTGAAGGATGAAGGGGGCCGAAGAAGAAGAAGAAGAAGAAGAAGCAGAAGAAGAAGAAGAAGAGGAAGAAAAAGAAGAATAAGAAGAAGCTGAGCCAGAGGCTAAGGAGAAGGGAGGTGGAATGCGCGGGTTCTCGAAGGAGGAGCTGTCGGCGGTGAAAAATCACGCACCCCGCTACCACTGCCATGGCCACAGCATCTGCTCTACATACCCTGGCTCTCAACCTTCCTCTTAACTTCTCCTTTTCCTTTTCCTTTTCCTTTTCCTTTACCTTCTTCTTCTTCTTCTTCTTCTTGAAGATCTACTTGAAACATACCGTGAGAAGAGGACACGACGTCGTCAGTGGTACCCGCATCTCAACGATAACTCTCTTCCTTCCTCAAAGTATTACCGATATTACCTATCCCAACTACAGGAAGGGAAAGAAGAGACCCGACCGAAGAAAAAGAAGAAGAAAGAAAGAAAAAAACCTCTCAGTACTTCAGATAATTCTCAACACGATCCTTCGGCAGTCTCCCCCCCCCCTACTAAAACCCCCCTCTCGTAAGCCCGTTAATGGAGCTGAGCATGATAAAAATGCGATATTGCCTACAGGTTACTCTAATTGGACGTTATCGTCTTATCTTTTATCCCCTTTACCCAAGTCCACTCACTTCTCTACGATACCAGATATATATAATGTACTTGCGAATAGGTAGAAAAAGATTTTTCCGTTAGGGTTACGATAACAATAAGGTAAAACCCATCAATGAGAACCTCGAAGAATCAGAGTGCAGTGTAACAGAGCAAGATATACGTGTGCTGGCTGAGCTACCGGTCGGTCGGGTCGGGTCGCTGTTCTCCTGTGTTTCATCTCTCCCTTTTGCTCTCTTTTCCTGTCCCTTGCCTTCCCCTCGTCTTCTTCTTCTTCTTCTTCTTCTTCTTCTTCTTCTTCTCTTTCTCTCACCCCTTCTCACTGTGTGCCTCTTCTCTCTTTCGACAGCCGCTGCTACTCCCAAGAGTCCGTCGTTGGACTGTTTTATTACTTTTATAAATGCCGCCGAGGCGTACCGCTGCCACCACCATAGCGGGCGTGTTTCCTTTGTTGCTGTATTACGGTCCATTGTTGTTGTTGGTTGACCGGCAAAAAAAGATGCTCGAACTTTCATTTTTGATATTGTCTAATATTATTTATATATGCACAAACTACACGGGAGACCATTTGAAACGTTCCATTTTCTTACTGTACGTCTGAATAAGAATTGTAATGATAAGAAAACCCAACGACTTAACGTAGAGTCTTCCCATTTGTGATACTCTTTTGATCTTTACTTATCTATATCGTATCTTTGACTTAAATCAAAACCAATCATAAGTTTATGAGGAGTATCTCTGTCATTGTCTATCAAAAATGATCATTGAAATATGATCTAGTTTTTCTAAGTCCTTGAACGTGTTCATTGCACCGAATAGATGCAACCTTTTTTCGTATTATGCATAAACGTAAGATTATTACACGAGTTGCGTACATACAAACGTCCCTCTTCGGCCCCCCCCCGTCCTCCTTCCTAGCTTTTACCCGTCCGATACCGAGGACTTGCGCTCTAGTAGCTCAGCCTACCTGGAAATCAATATCAGCCGACATCCCCAGGTCCGCTTCTAACTCGAGCGACAACATAATGCGCAACAGTTGCGTCTCAATAAGGAAAGAAAGTAGAGATGCTTGAAGTAGAAATCCATTGAGCCGTCGTCGTACATATTTGACCGATAACAAACCAAATGGTATCTTCACGGTGTTTAGTTTCTTTCTCGTGTGTACTACTTTAAGAAAGATCTAACGCAATGTGAACGAAAAAAAGAAAAAAAAAACAAATAAAGGAATTTTAAATAAACTTTAATTTAAAAAACTTGTTCGCATCGAAGTGATCAAATGAAATTAAAACGAAGATGCAACGATGAACGTGTGCAACAAAATATCGATTTCTCTTATTGAATATCGTAAAATGAAATTGTTGATTAAGGAAAAAACGATAAGAATAAAATTACATTTTTAAGGTATTTTTAATCAGGATGACGGAAAAACGTCTATCGTTGGGTATCAACGTTAGTATTCTACTGATTCTCACGATATTTGGTATTTTATTGTCTTTACCATTGAAATTACTTTTGAATACGAATTACGATGTTCAAAGTCATGAAAATCAAAGTGAAAACGATACCGGTACATTGTCAAACGTTAATAAGAACAAAGAGATATTAGAATTGTTAATCGATTATCGTAAATTGAAATTATGCAGAAGACATGGTTACAAAGATCGGATAAGATCGATCTTTTACAGCGATTACGATGAGAATTGCACGTACATGAAAGTCCTTACGAAAAAGAAGGAAGAAATTAATCTCGATTCGTTCGAGCAAGTCAACAACAACAACAACGAGTTGGTGCTAAAGGTGGATAAGAAAATAGAAAAGGAAGTGAAAAAGGTTGAAGAGAAGAAGGTGAAAGTGGAGAAAAACGAAGAAGAGGAGTCTCAAGAATCGAAGGAAATCGTTGGTAAGAAAATAAAAAAAAAAACTCGAAACACACACACGCACAATACTGTTGAACCTAAATATAAATCGAATGAATTTTAGTTGCAGGACACATCCTCGTGACGATGCTTCTCGTTTCAGCAATTGCAGCTTTGGTCGAAGTATTACGAATTAGATTTTCCACAGACAAGGTATCGCTTTTCTCTTGATCACATCTCATCTTCCTTTTTTTGTCTCTATTCTATAACTTTTAATCATAACATATATATGTACATATATCTATTTACTAATCATTCAAACTCTATAGCTCGTCTCAATGTTGAAAAAATACTTTATCTTCTTTCTTCCTCGATGTTAAAATCAGAGTAAACGTCTAAAAGGTCGCATATCTTTAACAAAAGAATAAGGATACTTCTTCGTCGAGAGGTAACATCCCTTCAAGAAAAAGCTCAACCGTTGATCTACCGATTCAAAGGCGCTTCTTACCAAGAGAACCAATGAAGAGTCAAAAATCCTTCGAATTGTTAGGAATGCATAAATCTTCTTTGCGTCTCTTGGGTACGATTACTTAAATGCATTATACATAATAATAGTAAATAATATGATGATGACGATGATCATTTCAAATAAAATATGATTTATTATTATTATTATTATTATTATTCGTTTTCTAGGTGAGCGACCAGCCCCGCTTATTCGACGTTCTTCCTTCCCAACTCAACAGGCTAACAATAAACGATCAGGTCCATCGGCCACTGGCACGCCAAATATACGAATGTCACGACGTCAATCGGCTGAGTCCGAGGAAGAAATCGGAGTACTTATCACCGCTCTTCATCATCGTACACGTTTGATCCGTCGCCATTAAGGTAAAGTGCATTCAAAGGATGCAATGGAATTCAACGTCCATCTTATCTCGACGTATATCGATCGATCGACCGAACGAACGAACGAACGAACGAACGAAAGAATCTTCTCTCTTCTTCCTAAGAATCTCATCGTTTGAAAAAGTTCGATCCTCGATATTCCATCTTATGAGCAGCTTATTCTTCATTTATTTTTTAATACTTTAACAGGTCTTTTATGCACGATGCACACAACGAGATCACTATCTCTCCAGGAACTTTTATCAAATCCAACCTACATATATAAATATATAAAAAATATATTTAAATACATACATGCACATATTCATAAACGTTTTGAACGTCATTAAGGCTCATCATGCATGGAGAGGATAACACTTTTACGAGAAATTCATTATTTCTTATTGGTATGAATCTGACTGCTGTTACCATGTAAAACCTTTGTATGTCATCTGTATCAAACGGAGAAATGACTTCTTTATTACGTCCATATTTTTACTACAAAAATGGAATATGTACTAAAAAAAAAAAAAAAATTGTTTTCAATCTTCGCAACAACTATGCAAGATCAATTTATTAATGCGTGTATGTTTAGAAATCTACAATTTGTTATATTTCATTTGATTTCATTTGATTTCATTACTAATGATGATCTTACGTTTTTAGAAGGCACAAACTACTTATGATTAGATTCAATAAAACATCTCAATGAAATTGAACGACAAGAAACGAATTGTATGAGTTCTTTTATACATTCTATTTATGTATAAGAAGAACCAATGAATGAGATAGAGAAATGAAAAGAAAAAAGAAAAAATGGTATATATTTTCGAGAACTAACGAGTTAGGAAATATTTTGGTAATAATAAAAGTAAAAAGAGAAAAAAAATAAATAAATAAATAAATAAACAATTGTTATATATCCCTCCGTTAGAAGATATTACTTGGGACCGTCTAATCAATCCTGTGATCATCATTGTTCTTCATGTGATACATAAGATGTTAATTATAGCTTATGAAATCTATACATACACAGACACATATATATATAATATATACATACACGTGTGAACATGAGTATTCTATAAAAAAAAAAAAAAATGTTTTTGCTTCTTCATAACGCTTCGCTCGTCTTTCTGATATTTTATTTTCAGACTTTTAAGTATATAAAAGCCTCGATGATCTTAATAATGTAAAAGAAAAGGGAAAACAAATTTCCAATAAATCGGAATATAATTATAAGTCTATCGTCTTATCTCCCATTATTTAATAAATAAATAAATAAATAAATAAATACAATAAAAGTAAAAATAATAATAATAAACAAAAATAAAAGAACCTTTTTGTCATTATCTTTTAACATTAGAAACAAAAAAGAAATAAAATAAGAACAAATAAAAAAGAAAAGAAAAAGAAAGAGAAAATTTAAAACTACAATCGATTGAAAAATTTTCCCGCGTTAAATTTCAAATGAACGTTCCATCAATCGGTAACTTAACCTCAAAAGAGAAGCAAGAAATTAAGAAATGAGTACGTGCATTCGAAGCATTGACAGATGGCGCCGTTTTCAAGGCCATTGTACGTCGTCTTCGTCGTCTTTGTCGTCCGTCGTTGTGTCGTCGAGTATTCGCCGTTGACGTCGTTGTCGTCGTCTTTATCGTTGTCGTTGTCGTCGTCGTCGTTGTCATCGTCAAAACGAAGAAAAGAGACGTAGAAAATCGTAATGATGAATTAAAGGTATCGCTGTGTGAAGTTGATTTGTATTAAAGTGCAAGATAAAAAGGAAAGAAATAAAAAGGTGTTTAGAATGCGGACCAAGATTGAAGATAAGATAACGTGTATTTGGTCAAAATAAAGATCAAATTTAAAGTCTTCTATTAGTGTGATCAAAGGTGTTTTCGCTTGTTGCACGCAGTTGCCTAGGCGACTAAAAGAGGGTAACCCTTTTATTATTACTAGCGCGTACGGTTACACATATACGTGCGTGATCCGAAAAAAAGTGTGCTATGAGAGTGGATCGACGCCACCAATCGTCGAGATGTCGATTTTCAAGTCCCTTCGATGATTATTCAATGTTCCTAAATCGATCGACCTGAAGAATTAAAGAAAACAAAACAATACAACATAACACAACACGCAAAAAAAGAAGGGAGAGTTAAAGAGACGGGGTAGTTGAGGTGAAAAGGGGAAGGAAGGAAGGAAGGAAGGAAGGAAGGAAGGAAGGAATAAAGGAAACAGGAATAATAAAGAGAGAAAGAGGAAAGAAAGAAAGAGTGTGAACTAAAGTGAAAGATAGACAGGGATAACAAAAACAAAAAAAAAAAGTAAAAGGGATCATGGACTATCCGATTTTAAATCACTACGACCCATCCGTAACGGATGAGACAGCCGGTAATGGTGTAGACCAGCAAGAACTACTTTGTGAGTTTTCTAGATCTTTCCATCATCTACCTTGCGATCCTTTTTTATTTCAACTTAGTCGCGGTGCCAAAAAGGTAATAAGGGAAAGATGTGAAAACGTCACACGCCACAAAATAAAAAAAATAAATGAAAAAAAAAACGCGCGAAAACGTCTCGTTCATTCTCAAACAAAGTGCTCTAAGAGATATTTCTATGCGTAGAGACAACGTATGTATATATATATAAAGATGTATGATGAGTATATATCGTTCGATATAATGAAGGCTTAAAAAAAGGCGCCAAATTTGTAATTTATCTTATAAACGTCGCACTTTTTTGTTCTTTCTCATTTCCCCCCTCTTCCAATGTCGTCAATGTTAATTTATCTCTTTTTGCTAATCTTTCTTATCTTTCTTACCACTAATCTCTTTTGTTTTCTTGCGGTTGTTTGTTTTCTTTGATATCAATGACAAGTCGTCTCTGTTTGTAATATTTGTAAATGTTTCTTTTTCGGTTAATAAATTGTGCATTAAAGTTGCAGTTTTAAGAATGGATATTGAAGTGTATTTGTTTCATGTTTTCTTGTCAAATTTCGTACAATAAGAATTCCCGTATGTTATATGATTATAAAGGTTTCTCTTTTTACTTTTTTTTTATTTTTTTTTTCTTTTTTTTTTCTTTTTTTTCTTTTCTTTAGGTTTGGTTATAATTTGTAATCTTTACATTTTTAGGGGGAGAATCAAATTATGTATTACCAAGCGATGAATATATACCTGCACCTGAACAATTTGAAGAGGAATTTATAGGAGCTGAATTTCGTGAAACTCGAACATTGCTTGCAGATGGGGGAGATAGATTTGGAGTTTCCACTGCCACTTTCGATACAATCGAGGAACTTATGTGGATGGGAAATCAAGGGGTATTAGAACTTTCATTCAATTCTTTAAGTATAAATATTTTTGTTATATCAACTATAATGCTTTTGTTTATGCAATCATATTTTGTCATAGGGTCACGTAACATCTTATTATGGTCCTGGTTTACAAAAATATACTTCCTTTCAAGTACATGCAACACAGGAAGTGCGACAAATTCATCCGTTGGATGAAGGAATTTTGGTGCTTACTCAAAGTATATTGCGATGTCAATTAAGACGTGGCATACCAATATTCACACATATGTACGTAGACATACATTCATGAAAAAACTTGATACTTCGATATTAAATATTATCAAATTGTAGGTCACCGAACATGGTAGATATGCAATGCATGCTTCAAATTTCTCCAACTAGAATGTTAATGGGAGGACATCAAGAAAAAATCATTGATTTTAATCTTACTAGAGGAAAAGAGATTGGATTAGTAAGACGTTTTGATATATTTATAAATCAACTTCATATAAACAACTATAAATGTATCTAATTTGTTAGGTTCATGTGGGAGAAAATGGTTGTGCAATATTAAGGCAACATAGTAGACTTATTTGTGCTGGTAATCCAGCAGGAAGAATTGATCTCAGGGATCCGAATACGTTATCTATAGAACATACTTTTGATACTCATAGCGGTTCCCTTAGCGATTTTGATGTTCAGGGAAATTATCTTGTTACCTGTGGTTTCAGTCATAGGTAAAAATAGCCATTAATTAAAATAGATTTGAGATTAATTAAATGTTTTGAATTGATTTATATATTGTAATATATATATATAGTCGTCAAGGCCTGACAGTAGACCGATTTTTGATGGCATATGACTTAAGACAAATGAGAGCTTTAAGTCCTGTTACAACATTGGTGTATCCTCTTCTCTTAAAATTTCTTCCAAGCTATTCTAGCAGACTTGCAGTTGTTTCTCCCTTAGGACAAATGCAATTGCTTGATACAATCTATGCCAACGTACAACAACCCTTAACATGTTTATATCAGGTGAATGCCTTATATAATTGACTTATATATTTATGATTATTATTTATAGATGGTTACACGTTTACATATGTAATTATAGGTTGCAACTAATGGAGCATTTATACTATCGTTTGATGTATCATCTACATCCCAATGTCTTTGTTTTGGAGATTCTGGTGGATCTATACATTTAATGTCTACAAATACTTCAGAACCTCAGTTCAATACATTTTCAAGGTTAGTAATTATTACATAGATACTTTATTAATGAAAATAATTAATGCACAAGTTAAACTTTTCTTTTATTAGACCTACAGAATTTGCCGATCCTGTTGATTCCCTTCAACCTATATCATTTGATGATGATATTACACCATTCAGTGCGATACCTGTGATGTATACTGGACATCCATTGCTGAGCGATTGGCCAGAAGAATTATTAAAAAAAATTTACAGGTATGATCTTATTACTATAGCTTTTTTAAACAAAATAAATGTTTGCATTACTAAATTATTTATTTTAAATTATAATAATGTAAAGATTTGTTCTCTGACTACTAATATAATATTTAATTTAATATGTATTGCTATTATGTATTGCTTTATTAATCTGCAGGAAAACTCCTCCAATTGATTCTGAAGTCCTGCGCACAATGAAAATGCAAGGAACAATAGGTTATGCTCCAAATCCTCAGGCTTTTCGACGTAATCAAGTGAGGAAACAATATTCTCCCAAATTTCTACAATATTCTTCTCCATCTTTTTTCAAATTCCCTTAAAACGTATATTTTTTCTCTTTGCATCCTCTAAAAGATCTCGTATTTATATTTTCAATTGAATTTAGGAGTTAACGTGTGTTATCTCATTCATAAGGTTTGATATTATTATACATATGAATGTATATGTACATATATATATATATATATAAATATATAGATATTTAGATATTGTTTACCGTACTATAGATAGAAAGATAATACAGACTATTTTTTTTATGCTTTTGAGTAATCTTCAATATCTTATAAGTGATTGAATTCTCAAACGGTAACTATAGTCCTTTATATACATATATAAAAGCAACACTATATATATTTTGATTAAACATAATATAATGATATATTTTTTTTTCTTTGTCGACTGCCATCCGTGATAATATAATATACAGCTAATGTTATTAACTGTAAAGATAATATCGCGAAACTATTTTACTATCAAATGCCTTAAAGATCTTATTTTAATGAACAATATCCAGTATAGTCTTGCCATTTAAAAGCAATGCGAGGGCAATATCCTTGTTCTATATCTGCAATATAAGAATTCAAGCTGAATATAATTAAAATATTAACTTTTGTAGAAAGAAAGAAAGAAAGAAAGAAAGAAAAACAAAAAGATATATTAATTAAGACTGATAAATATTTCGTGATAAATTTAGAACTTAACATTGTTAAGAAAACGTGATATTATATTTTCATAAGCTAGTCTATTGTATTCTAGTAATTTCAGTGTGATAATTCATAAGAATGGAAGGATTTATTGTATAAATCAAAAACATACTGCCCACAAAAGATGACATGGAATTGCCATTTGA